ATACGAAACCATAGGTCATATGCTCCAAGGAAAGATAACGGATAAAAAGGATATGAGTCAACTACATGACACATTACGAAATGAAATCGTCACGGCACAATTACGACAGAAGGAAGACTACGATTGCCACAGAAAACCCGATCCAAACCTAAAATCAGGAGATATGGTTTGGTTACTACCACGCAACATCCGAACCACGTGACCGATAAAAAAACTGGATTACAAGAAAATAGGACCATTCAAGATATTGGCGAAAATAAGGAGCCACGCTTATAAACTCGACCTCCCACTGTCAATGAAAATACACAACACCTTCCACATCAGCCTCCTCGAACCCTATCAAGACAATCCTCTACCATATCAAGAGAAACCCCCACCACCGCCTATCGAAATAGACAGTGAATCAGAATACGAACTCGAAGAAGTCGTTGACTCTTGGTTACACTACGGTTGCTTGCAGTACAGAGCAAAGTGGACTGGATACTCTCCAGAACACGATAAAACCTGGTACCCAGCCAAGAATTTCGAACACACACAAAATGCAGTCCATCAATTCCACCGAAGATACCCACACAAGCCATCAATCCAGTGTCGAAGACGCACCAGAATCCGAGCAATCAATGCCGCAACTACACAGAACCGACACCTATCACTGGGAACAGCCCCAGATCAGATACCAGTAATTGCCGATAATGTCGGCCCTACAGAATACCCCGGAGCGCGATGCGTTCAAACACATTCCACCAACGAGCCCGGGATATCGGACTCCAACCCCATCCCCAACTCCGATCAAGGAGGAGCTAAGCAACGAAGACTGGACCAATCTAGTGGACCTCAACCTAAGATGGACCACCACACCCAAAAGGGAACACGTGAACCTGTCCTGGACAGGTTGCTACAACGACGAGTGCCAAGTGCACCGAAGCGAGAAAGAATGCTTGGGATATTGGCCTCAGGAGACGAACAGATAGCCATCCAAGACCTCACCCCTGGGATCACCAGCGAGATCCCCGACCCCAGAGCTAGTGGCTCTAGTACAATACATCAAACTGACTCCGAGGACAGAGTCGAGGAGGAGGGGGGCGAAAAAACAAAGACAATGGGCAAAACCCAGGAAACCGAAGCAGGTTTCCTGGCAACAAGAGATGGAAGGAGAGACGGAACCCGAGACCTCGAAGGAGATCAAGATGAAGTGGTTAGCCGAGAAGGCGGAAACCAGCAAACTGCTGGAATATCAGGTGGAAAGAAAAGAGGAGCTCAAGAAGGAGCTGGAAAGGACGAGGTGGAGCAACGACAATTTGACGAAGCAGTTGCTAGGAGAAAGAAATATGAGAAAGGCTCTCCAGAATGACTGGAGAAAAGAAGAGAAGGAAGCAAGGAAAACTCTGGCGAGGGTGGTCTGGGTGAACACGGGAGCGAATAGGTGCTATCCGCTACCCGAAGGAAGAAGATGGGGAATAGAAGATTGAAGCCCAATGGGACTCGGGCTGAGGGAGAGGAGAGCTAATGTCACAAACTGTGACTAAGTAAGGCAGATTTCATATAACTCAGACTTCTGAGTTATAGGTATGTTGGGATTTCACATGACGCACATTAGTGCGCCATAGGTTATTATGTTTACCTGTTCATGACTCACAGTTGTGAGTCACACGATGTTATGATTTTTGCACATGACTCATATTTACGAGTCATGGGTTTCACACAGGTGACGTGAGTTGCGCACTTGACTTGATTATTATAGTTTGATTGGTTTTAGGTATGTAGCGCAGCGACTCATAGGAGTCGGCTGATGGATTTCACGTGACTCGTAGTTATGAGTCACAAGGTTCGCGTGACGCATAAGTATAAGTCACGCCAGGTGAAGAGCTACTATATAAAGGGTCACTAGGACCCCTAGTATTAGCTCTTCACACATTCTTCTTGTTTATTTCCTACCTTTAAGTTATTATCAATAAAACCTACCTTTACGCTCTTTAAGATTTATCTTAAGAAACCCGAGAATTGTCTTTCCTCCCAAGCGAGAAAACTATTTCTCCTCCCACGTCGAACGACTAAGTCCTGAGTGAGGACTAAGAAGAAGGATAAGGAGATAGGTGCGAATAAGATAGTAGTCACAGGATTGGACTATCGGGATCGCGTAGGCACAGGCCTGAGAACTATCGCCTTACATCAAGGGAACTATCGTTACCTGTCGCTCGGTCCTACTCGGTAGGATTCTTAACATTAACTGTAACATAAGTAGGAAAAACATAAGTGCAAACATGTCTGACCCTGAAGAACTGCCAAGGAAATCTCATAAAACATATGTGTATCTGAAGTGGTGTGAGCAGATAAAGTATAAGAAACAAACCCGAACACCAGATAAGAAAGCACGCTATAATCCCCTAATCATATCATGAAATATCAATGAAATATATGTAACACATACTCCAGCTGTAGTAATGTTCATGGTTTAAAAATAATAATACCAGGTAGAGAAATATATGATATTATCTAGGAGAATATACATATGAGATGAGTTAGGAAATTCAACAGTTATGATTTGTGTTGTTATAGCTTGAGCATTCTTGAAATGTCTATCTGGATTAGAAATAGTGATGGTTTTCATATTTGAGATTCATCGTCATCTGTAGGTTGCATTCTGCTGTACCATTTCTTGCCGATGCTTGCACGCCTAAGAGACACGATGGGTGTATGTTCGATACGGGTGCAAACGCTTTGCTATTATAGGGAAATACTAGCACTGTTAAGGGATTTCCTCTGGGCTAGATACTATCGATATGTCATCACAAAATCTACAGTACTTCGGAGGAAGGGTCTCTGGTACAGCGGCTCCAAATATTTAAATATGTATTCTTTATCCTTGTAGTTCACAGTGTGTACGGTAGTTTCTATGGAGGAGAATCAAAGAACCAGAGTTGTGGAAAAGGATGGAAGGTGGGGGTCGGACAAAAGGTTAGTGTTGCTCACATAAAGGATATGGATAGAATGATTGCTTACTCCCGGGAGTAAGCGATATGTTTGTTCTTCACCCCCCCCTCCCCCAAATTCAACTGTAGTAACGCGGTTGACAGATGGAATTATCGCTTACTCCTGAAGAAGCGGTAAGAAACTTCTTTGACCCCCTCCGTTGAGCTACACAGCCGCTTAACAATGCAACGGATCAATGCAATAATGAGTTGTAAAGAATACCTGAATGGTTCTCAGAGCTTACATTACCGGCGCACGCCATACTCAAATTGACTCCCGAGATTTAATTGTTCCTGAAGTCAACTGGGACTTGTGTAGCTGGGCTATGGAGTTCAACACTTTAGAACTCGGTTCAGTTATTTACGGTTTTACCGTCTCCTAATTGACCATTTTCAGCCGGGAGGATCCTCTGGTTTATATTGATTGGTTCAATTTTTACATCTTCGGTATGATGCCAATTGAATTAGCGGTATTGCTTCCAAGAACCGAAGAGGTCTTGTCCTACAAGGGGTGGGCGTGGATATCAGTTCACATGGATTGGGCGATATACTTTCTCAGGTGGTGGGTGCAGCCGCTTCTCTTGGTGGGCCGTATTTACCATCACAAAGTGAAAAAGATTATCGCACACGCTGCAGTGATCAATTCTATTCGTATGTTTTAATCACCTTTCCGTTTGGGTTTCCATCCTGCTTTTTGGTATTTGGGCGTTCGGTCTAGAGAAAGCTCATCCCCAAACATCGGACATCCGGAACAAGTAGGGACCGGGCAACCGCACGCTATCACAGGCTCGGGATTCGGGAATTCCGCCTCGGGCGTGAGGAAGACTGGGAAGTGCATATTAATTTGAATAATGTCCGTCTTGAAGGAATCATGAGCCCAAACATCATTTTTCGCCACTTGTGGTGCAGAGTTATCACAGGAGAAACATGAAGTTGAAACGAACAGTAACTGCGTGAAGGAAATGTTTGTTAAGGTAACCAACATGGTGAAGCCTGTAAATGAAGATTCTAGTAGAAACAAGGACCAACCCAACTTCTCTCCTCCCGACCTGCAAATAGGAAATGCGGCCTGAACAAGTCCCGCTCAAAGACAATTGAAAACAAAACTGGAAGGAAAGGCACATGTGGTAAACAATTGATATAATAGAGAACTCGGGAAGTGGGTGGGTCCGCTCTGAAAGGGAGAATTAAAATGCAGCGACTGGTTCGGTAGAGGAACAACTATGTCAATAAGGCGGAGGTGGGGAAATGAGATCTTGTTTGCCATGTTAGATACATCACAACGAAGAGAAATGGAGAAATTCGGGGGCGCGTTACCAACCTGATATCTTAGGCACCAGTATGTATAAAGGGGGCCCATAGCAAAGGGTCGCGCCACTTAGAATCTCGAACCTTCTTCACAGCTTTGTAAAAAGCTGTAGAGACGCGCTGGTGGTCGTCTTTACCGCTTCCTCCATCTTGTAAAAGCAGGTTGTAGAAGTCTCTCGCAACTTCACTTGAGGCTTGGTCGTCTGTTTCCCACATGTTTGCAAATGTGTGGCTGAACCCCGCGAGCTGGAATGCGCTGGCTAGGTGTATGACTTCGTCGGCTAAGTCGGCCGAGGGGTTTCTGGCTGAGGAGCAGGCGGAAAGGTACGCAATCTGTGCATTTTTCGTAACCAATTTGGATATATCTCGGGCCATGAGCTTATCAGAACTGATCCCATCTTGGTTGAAGAGAACTAGGTGGCTATCCGAGGGGTTGAGACGAGACACTCCATGGCAGGCGAAGTGGACAATTTCATGGCGCTTGATTCTCTCGAGGACCTCTGCCGGGGTTGGACCGCTCAACAGGGTGGTTTCGATTAAAGTTTCGGCAGAGGAATCAAGTATATATAGAACTTCTTCATTGACTCCCGGTAGCTTCGTTGCACCTGGTGTTTCCGGCATCGGAACGAGAAGTAAGCGGGGATTGCGTTTTTTGAGAATGTTTGATTTCTTGGAGCGCTCGGCTGAAATCGAAGCATCACATTCCTCAAAAAGCTGAAGTTGCTTTTGGCGTGCATAGGAGAGGGCTTTGATTGTTGGGATATATGTTGAGATGGCTCGACTTATTGTGTTACGGGTCGATCCTGGTGAATGGTCCCCGGCCGCATGGAAAGGTGCCATACTTAATTGACCAACCCCAATCCACCAAATCCGCTTCAAATTGTTTTCATGAACAGCATCTCTGATCATGGCCCCACTGCCTTCGAGGTAGGCAAAAACAGGCCCTACTGCTGCTTTCCATAACCAACGGAGGAGGTCTATCATCCCTTTGGTATCCTGACGCCGCTTAAGAAAGGATCCACCTCCAAAACTAGCCAATTGGTTCATGCGGCTTACTGTGTCGGCATAGCTCAATTCCGTAAGTTCTAATGAAGTTATAGCGGAGGTGGTGACAATTATGGCATCGCTCCTATAAAATGTGCTATTAAAGACAACGATAGGACCATTTGTTGCCATTTTCATTAGCGCGTCGCGAGGAGGGGGGAGCAGGAATCCGTCGTAGCCGGGTAAACTGCGGATGTGTTTTAGAATTTGCTCCATCTCATTAACAGCCTCATAGCGCCTGGATATCGCACGTGTTTGGCATAGTTCAGGCGTTTCATCACTTGCACAATTGGTACCATCTAGTTCTGAGTCAATCTCAACCCGGAGACTGTTAAATTGGTCGAACACGAGCGGGTGGTCGGTTTTAAGATCGGAAGCTTCAGATCTTGCGTCGATTGAAAAGCCCATTATAATTCCACGTCCAAGCTCTAGCAACTTAAGACCATGGTAGGCTTCTCTCCCAGCCTGAAGAGCCATGGAAGAGGCATGGGACGCAAGACCGGAAATTTGAGAGAGTATGTGCTGTTGGTCATCACGCGTTAGGAATCGGAGATCAACGTATGGCATCAAGTTAACTGCATCCTCGAGTATGGAACTTGATTCGGGAAACATTCTAGCTGAATAGAGTAAAGTAGCTGCGCGGCGAGCCGCCCGAATGCGCCTCCTGGGCGGTGAAGTGCAGCATTGGAATGCCTCATGGTATAGGCTAAGGCATTTTTTGAAGTCCTCGGGGGACTTTAGCTGTAAGAATCTTGATTGTGAAGATGTAGCCAAGCTAGTACACATGATCACACGGTGGGGGTGATCTGGAGGAGTACCAGCTAGTGCGTCTTCGGCGTGCTTGATGGCTTTTTGAAGGTCTCCAAGGTCTCCTATCCGCTCAAATCTTTAGCCAACGGAGTAGTTCCAGTATATGTCTACTGCTCGATCTGGGTGATCCAGAGGTGGTGTAGCTAGTGCGTCTTCGCCGTGCTTGATGGCC